CATGTTTTTTTTCCTCCTGGAATAAGAGGCTCTCAGTTGGATTGTACCAGGAAGTGCATCAAGAATCCAAGTCCATGTAGGACAGCACACATGCGCATAACAGCCTTCAAAAGCACACAAAAGATGAACCTGCTCCTCGCTGTCTCAGGTCAGTGTGACAGGAAGCCTCTGAGGCTGGGGGCTATGGAGGGTGTAATGGGGGGGTTCTGCAGACACACAAGTTTATAGGAACATGACAGTGGCTGCGAGGTGTTGAAATGAGTCACGAGGCAGCAGGTCTGAGACGCCGGCATGTTGAAACCTGACACACTTGTTCACAGTGTCGCCACTGGAACGACTGACAGCAGGACTGGAAAACATCAAGTTTGGAGGCAAGCACACAAAAACACGTCAGCATTGGAAACATCTGCATTGATTTTGATTCATATTTTGTTCAAACATGACTTTTTTATGTTAAGTTTTTTTAATTTTTTTTTTCTTGAAGGAAACTGAAGTGAATGCTTTTATAATTATCACTGTGGAAAATAGAGGTGGTGTAATGCTGACATGAAGAAACTTGCACACTTTCTTTTAACCCTTTAAAGCCGGTTGGAGCGGGCACGCTCCGTTTTGCATAACTATTTTTAAATCCCAGTAGGGAGATGAGCGGGGGAAGACGCCGCGCACGCTCGCTCGCTATGATCCCCTTTCCTCTGGAAGTTCAGAAGCACGGGACGGCGCCCGGCTAAAGGTGCGCTTGGCACGGCTCCAGTTGGAGGCCGAGGAGAAGGCTCAAGCCAGGCGAGCTCAATTAGAGGTTGAGATCAGAAAGCTGGAAATAGAGGCAGATAAAACAGTGAGGCTGCATAAGCTGGAGCTGGAGTCTCAGCCACGAGCCTCGTCTGTCTCCGCTGATGGTCCAGGTTCTGCCCCCGTGTCTACTACTCCTTATGACATTAGTAAGTGCATTTCTTTAGTGCCTGCATTTAAAGAGGCTGAGGTGGATTCTTATTTTGCAGCATTTGAGCGCATTGCTGGTGCTTTGCGGTGGCCTAGTGAGATCTGGCCCCTTTTATTACAGTGTAAACTGACTGGAAAAGCCCAAGAGGTGGTAGCTGCGCTTCCCTTAAAAGACAGTTTGGAGTATTCTTGTGTTAAATCAGCTGTGTTGCAAGCATATGGATTGGTTCCAGAAGCATACAGGCAGAAACTTCCCTCCCAAACCTATGTTTGCATCAACAAAAACATAATATTCCAGAAACAGGCTTTGCCGATCCGATCAGCTGTTTGTAACACTTCCTACGTCCATCAGCGCAAACTATCGCATGTCCGCCATGACCTGCCCGAAACCGGAAGTGACGTCATTTTGTGGAAATGTAGTTTTTTACCATTAGGGCCTCGGGAGCCTATACTGGTGTTTTTAAAAGTTATGTTTGACTTTATGACTTTCTGTGTGGTTTCTGGGATGCTTAGGACTCATATTGCACTGCTGGAAATAGTTTATTTTGATGCATATGCTGCTTTTTTGCAGATTTGCATTATAATATTTATTTTCGTTTTTCCTGCAGTGTATAAAAATTGGTGTATTTCAAAAATAAAACTATGAAGACACTCAAAATAAATTTCCTGTGGTGGGAAACTATTTTGTGCAACTTTTTTGTATTTACAGTTTTGAGGGATAAGCCTCTTAAATTTCTCTGACTAGAAATATATGTTAAAAAAACAAAAACGATTTTCAACTTTTTTGTAGTTTATCGCATTCTTTGCAATTTATGTAATTACTGCACTTAATGCAGACATATTATTAAAATCTGGGCTATAATGGTTGTATTGATGTATATCAACTTGAAATGCTCCCAAAAATGGCTCCACAGCATGTAAACATATAATATAAGCTCTGGCGGACTTGGTTCTATGGTAGGTCCTAAAGGGTTAAGCTGAGATTGATATTATCATCACCCAAAAAATAACATTGTGGTTTTCTTTAAGTTATGATTGTTTTACTAAATATTTTTGTAAATCTAAGTGTCTGCTGATGTTCTTTGTTTAAAAATATAGTTTATCTTTGAAACACAAAGCTCTTTGTTGCTGTTGATAATGTGATCATGTAAATAAAACAGACATTATCAAACAGTTCACTATTATACTGACAATAATGTAAGCATATGGGTTATATTCCTTCTATAAATTCAAACACAGGTATGTGAATAAAAACAGATCAAATGAATCTGAATTATGAAGACTGGCACTAATAATAATTACAACGAATAGAAACGTGTGGAACAAGCAAACACTCCACAGATGAAGTAACAACTGCACCAGCAATAAAAAGGCTGCACCTGTGTAATTAGCAAGCTAATTGCTAATTACATCCAGTTTTTTGTTTGCGTACACACACACACACACACACACCTGCGGCACAGTGTGTTGGTGTGTTCATTCAGGAGATTAACTGCTAGCGTAGTGTGTACGCAGTAGCCATTAGGAGCTAACGAGTGTGATGCTAACAAAGCTGGCTGTCTTAATGAGCTCATCGTTAACCATTAGCCACCTGATGAGCTCAGTGCTAATGCAGCTTAGCACGGTACGCTAATGACTCAGCCATTAACCTCCTAATAAGAGCAGTGTGAGTGGAGCCACACGGTTAGCTGCTAGCTGCTAGCAATCACCCGAGGGTCTCTACAAAACAAAACCAACTACGATGACATGAAACGGCCCTCATCACCGATTGGCTGCAGGGTTCAACCATGTGACCTCACTTTCACTCACCTGCACACTTGGTCCTGGCTCTGAGCGGTGGCCCGGGGTTCCCTGTGCCTCCATCCAGGGGCCTGGTGAGGAGCACACTGATCTCGTACTCTGTGTCGGGGTCCAGATGCCCGATTTTATGAGTGGGCTTATCAACCGGTGTGGTGTCGATCAACATGCCTGCCGTCGTCCGATACTCAACCTGAAAGCAAGCACAATGTTACAGGTAGGCTGCCCCAGAAGTGGACAAAAATCACCTGACCAAAACAAATATGAAGCAAATTCCTGGATCTAAACTCTCTTTGAAAAAAATATGCATGTATGTACATCTGCACATACATACATACATACATAAATACTATAGTATTGTAAGTTCTGTGCATTAAAGAATTGTGCCACAGTTTGTGGCTCCAACGTCTAAACTTTCTTTGACTATTAGCCTGTTAAACAACAGGCTGATAAACTAACTATGCAATGTTAGCCAATGTCGTGGCTGCAGCCACACTTCTGAATCAGTGACCAATCAGCACTCACGTCTCGCTCAATGATTGGTCCGTCCCCATTGATCGAGTTGGCGTTAAGTTGTATCCACAGGTAGGTGGCACCAACTGCTGTCAGCTGAGGAGGGGCGATGGGTACAGGGGGCTCTGAGGGACGAAGAACCAAGATCAGTCTGACAACACACACACGAACAC